CGCTCCCCGCGAACGGAGTCCGGTCCTGCCACCTACCATAGGTGTTCCCATCCTGTCCAACTTACTCCTACCAAATTTGAACGCTCTAGGTCCACGGGGACAGGAGTTATGAATTTCCGGTCAGACACACACACTGACACACACACACACACACAAACACACACACACACACACAAACACACCGACACACCAACAGGCACACTAGGCGAATTATATAAAGTAGGATAACAGATTTTTACGAACATAATGTGATGCCTCAGAGTGTTGTGACATACATACATCGATCAAAGGCATTCTAGTCTTTCGAACCCAGTTTCTGTCAGAATGGAAGGGAGAGCAAAAAACAAAGGCGAGAGTCTTTGAGATGCCCGCCCAGCATTTGACGTTGAACTTCGGGTTGAGTCTAATCGGGCAAGCGAGGGTGCACCATAGTTTTTATGGGTATCTCCTCTTTCCTTCGCTTTATTGTATCTCTTGTGTGACTGAATTCAGCACGAATATACTGAAGAAGAAGAGTACTAAGACAAGGCCTCGCAAACCTTCGAATTACTTTTCGGAACATTACTTTTTTGCGAACCTTCAAACTATTCAGCACTGGACGTGGCACCAACAAACGTGAAGTTCACAACCGCAGGCCCTACAACTATCATCGAATTCGACCCCATACCTGCAGAAGTAATGCAGAGGTTTGGCATAGATAAAGGGTGTCAGGTGAGTCATTACTCTCTATTTTATTTTAGGCTTCATTTCTCATTTGAAACTACTGTACATGGCCACTCATATAGCTTCTTGAATGGTCACAAAGGAGGCTCATAGATTTATGCGGCATAAGGACACGGCAAGAGGTCATGCATGCAGTAGCATCATCTTCATGGCCACGCATTCCTAATTTTGTAGAAGTATGAATGATAGTGATTATTTCGGTTTGAAATGGTGTGGATTTGCCCCGGACGAGCGGAGAGAAGACGCTAGCAGCGAGACGAGTGACTAGATTGGAATAGCAGCGTAACAATCGTCCGCTTTCTTCACATGACTGTGGCCACACTTGAATCTTTCATCAAGAAGGAAATTGCCAATTAATCCAAAAAAGGAATTCAAGGGAAATCATCCCAAGTACCTTGAATATTCGGTAAGTTTAACGTAGAGAGGCTGAAGAAGGAAACTGATCAGAATCGTTACTTGTAATAGATGTCTGCGACACGAAACCTTCAAAACGTAGCTTATGCATGATGGTGAAGAAAGTAGTGGACCATGGACGGTAAGGCAAAAGAAGGAAATTAGAGAAGGACTTGGAATGAGGAAATCACTTCGGGATGTATCGGACCAGAATATTACAAAAACCTTCTGTCAGTCATCGACAAAAACCTGACTCGGCTCTTCACGCGTAACCTGTCGGAAATTACCTATCCTGCCAGTTATGTGTGAATTACCAGTCGGACCGCCTGGTTAACACCGGACTTCCTTCCTTCTTGTGGTAGGGTTGTAGTAATCGGCAAATCGGCTCCTCCTCTTTTGAAACAGATGATGTTTTTCCAAACAAGAAATTCGACAGAGGATTACTAGCGCATCCAAGATGTATTCAAAATGAACCGATGCTTAAGCCTATGACTAAAATTCTCAATCTGTTGCTGTCCATCTTAAAATTAGTGACCCATTGACGGTTCAACTGGTAGGCAACCAAAACCCTGAATGGTGGGAGACGGGCGTTAGGAACGATTTTGGGTAATTGATCCGCCGCACGCGGCTGTCGCGGACCACTGTTCGCCGTTATTACAGCTCTAGCGTTCTTCATACAGCTCAATCGATATACGATCATTATTTTATACATAATTCTACTGTTAGTTCTTTTGTTCTTGTATTTCTTACCTACTGCTACATCCTGCTACATTCCTTCGCGCGCGACGCCCCTTTCACCGCGACGCAGCCATTTCGTTCTTAATGCACCACATCCCTGAATGGTAGTTACAAATGTCGAGCCATAATATTATTAAATGTCTTTATCAATAAAGCTTTCTTTCCCACGTCCGGCTCTCGATTAATCTCGGCATAATGAACTTCGTCGTAGGTTGTATTATTAGCCTTTCGAGATTTTAATAACAGTTTATCAACACGGCTTACGTTTCGGCAATATCGCCTTCGTCGGAGCCTGTAAGTCGAAACTACATTTGTGATTCGT